CACTAATTTTAGATGCTCCCTTGCATTAAGGTGGTTTGTTTTTGCCTAATAGGCAGTGGGTGACATTTGAAAAGGTTGAGATAGCAGGCAGGAGGTCCGACTGGAACCCTATGAAAATATTAACAAGCACACTCGATGACAACTTCCTACCAGCTTGTTTTACTCCTCAGTTAGGCCACAACCTTTTTATTTATTTATTTTTTCTAAAAAAAGGAGAAAGTGACACTTCTCTAGCAGAGACTTTTATTCAAGGGAAGAAAAATACAGATAAAAAACTTGAGGAGGTAAAGGGGAGACAGAAAAAGATGAAAGATGGATAAAAAAATAAATAAAAAAAAGCCACCATATTATTGGGCCTTGCACTGAGTGTGTGTGCGACAGCGAGATAAGAGACTCATGCATACCCTCACACAGCCTCTGAAAGGTACCCGGGTAACGTTCAAAACTATAGCGCTGCTGAAATCAGAAGTCAGTGTTTTGACCATTTGTATGCTCATTAAGCTGCTGTTTGTAAAAAATGAAACGCTTCCAAGATGAGGGTTTTTTTGCCTCTGAATATTTTTATTTTGTTTCCCTCTGAAGCTTTCTTCCTCGGCAGTAAAACGCTTCTCCACTCAGATGTTGAAAATAGCCCTTCTTTCTTCTCTTGTTCCACCATCACCTTCTTATATTCCCCTCTCATTTTCACCGTTCCTCACCCTACAGTCCCCTTCTCCTTCCTACTTTTTCTAACATCCTTTTGTTCGTTTTCTCTTCACTTTCCCTGCAGTTATCAGCACCGTGTTCCAGCCGGGGGAACAGACTGTTCAGGCAGCATTCAAAGAGAGTTTTGAGCTCTTTTCTGATAGCTGACTTGAGAGTGTGGCGTCGCTCAGGCTGAGCTGCTGTCACACATGCTGAATTTAGGGCTGCAACAATTAGTCGATTAATAGAGTTAATCAAAAGAAAATGATTACTGGATACTGTTGTGTCAGTCGATGTGATGCTTCAGTTCGGCTAATTCTAAAGCAGAAACAGTGGACATGTGTTGTCTCCATCTTTAAAGAGTGATGATTTGGTGTTTTCCCTCTGCTTTATATCACTGTACACTGATTGTCTTTGGGCTTTGGACTATTCCTCAACAAAATATGCAATCTGAGGTGTCTCTTTAGGCTCTGGAAAATTGTTATGGGATTTTTAAAAAACCAAGACATTATACAGATTAAACAGCTGGTCAAGAACATAACAAAAACGACAAGCCCTAGTTGATATATTAATATAACTTAAATAAAAACAAAAAATACATCACAGGAAGAACTTAGGAAGGAAGGAGTTTAATTAATTTTAGGAGATATTTAAGACTTCAAGGTGGAACAAGATGAAGAATCCAGTTAGACTAGAGGCTTTCAAAGTGGGAGGCTCAGTGAATTGAAGTGAAAAAAAATATTACATTAGTTATTAAAAGCAGATCTCATATAATAGCCCACGTGTGTGAGATTTGGTTAAAGAATTCAGAGACACAGTAGTTTTATTTGGGAGTTTGACTGTTTTCCTCACCTTCTCAGAGTCAGAAACTAATTAGTGTTTCCTTTTTATATGACTCTATACAGCATGACTGTCCTGGATCAGGGCTATTGATTGTTTAATCAGACGCTTTTACATCCTGCCAATGTTAAACCTCTAATTTTATGGCCGGAAAACTGAAGCAATTGAAAATGTTTAATCATCTTGTTTGCAAAATACCACTGTCAGCCTTTAAAACCAGGTTTTGTTATAACCTTTATGACCCCGGAGTGACCCGTAGAGGAAGTTGATGCAATGCGTATCCTTGCTTGCAGGCAGGATGCAGTATAGAGCGCCAGGACCAAAGTTCATTGTGAGGGTGCACGTTCCAGTATATTACATAAACAAACTATTCCCAGTGAACTTAAGCACAGTCTGTATGTTGCTTTCAGTTAATTGGATCTTTCTCCAGGGCAGATTTCTGGAGGTGGGGAGATTATAAGGGCATCATTTCTACTGTGGATTGGGGGGTAGTCACGTCCCCATTGTTCTCTAAAATCCTATTCTTGTCCCCCTCACTTCTGCTCAAGTCTCTCTGATCACTGTCCTCTTACTGCCCTGCTGTTACAGCCCAGAGGGAAGAAGATCTGAGTGGATAAACATGTTGATGAAATTCTCTTTATGGCCAAGTGTTCCAATTGGATTTTATTTAGCCCTGGTCCTTGCCTCTCAGGCTACATACAGGCTGTCCTAGCTTATTGCTGGAGGTTGTTGGGGCAGTAGGCGGTTGAAAGGAATACCTTTAAAAACTCAGGGCTTTTCCTTGGAAGAAAAAAACAACCCTGTTGCTATTGTCCTAAAAAGACATTAGAACAGATCATCAGTCAAAGGTAAGATAGTAAAGCACAGAGTTCTTTGTAGTGAAGATGCCAATGCAACATTATAAGTATCAGGTATCTATTAAGGTAGTGTTACAATATAGTATTTCTGATATCTATTACTGAAAACTCAACCAATTTAGCTGTATTTGTTTTTGCTAAATTCATTTGACTGATTCTTCAGATGATTCGCAGACTACAATCCCAAAGTCAACCAAAGCTGACCACAGATTGAACAAAGATGCGGCGTAGTCACATCCTCATCTGTGACTGACCTACTTGAGGAATTTGTACAAAGAACCATCCTTTACTTTTGTGGGCTCTGAAGAAATCTTTGTGTGATCTGGAGGAGAGAACCAACAGCTGGGAGAAATGTGAAATGTCAGCTTTTACATGACTTACCAAGCAAAGCAGGCAAAGGATTTTTCCTCCATAAATTATGGATCTCTTGCCTGTCTCTGTGGCAGGCAACCAGCCTCCAACCATCCATCTCCTCCTCAGCTCACTCTCCATACATGCATATGTATAATATGTATGGGGGGGGGGGTAAGGAAGGCTAGAGATGAGCAGTGCGATTGACGGTTATTATCATTCTCCTCATAGCTGAAACACCTCCAGTTTATCTCCACTCAAAAGCAGGTGAGGCAGAAGATGAAGCCTGTGATGGAAAATATGCTTTTGAGAAAGAGAAACAGGGACGGGAGGATTTAAATAACCTGAGCAGAGTGGCGTAAAAAGGGAGAAGAAGGGAGTTGGCGGAATGTGGTGGAGGAGAGGAGGCAGAGGAAAAGACAGCAAGATGAATTGAAGTGAAGCCTCACTGTCAGGAGGCAGCTATATATGGATCTAGCAAACCCAAGTCACTTTTAACCAGATCAAACAAGTCATCAGCTTTAACTTTCAGGCTAGTTCAATAATCCTTTAAAGGCTTGGTCCCTGCATTATTGAACTGCACTATACGCTGAGGCAGACATGCTACAGCTGGGGATCAATTGCAGACTGGGGCTCACGGCAGATCTAGTCTCTCTAGAGTGACTTGCATTTCAGTATCTCTTTTTATTCGTGTTTATTTCCATGTCACAGCGTTAATGAACATTTGTGCTGGAGCGTTGTTCAGACAGTTACCCTTAATCCTTGCCTTGTTTGATACACATTTGTGTCATCATTAAAGTATTAAATGTCCACGTCCGTCCTCCTACATTCTTGCTCATCATCTCCCTCTCTCTCTCTCTCTCTGAAAGCAGGGGGAGAGATGCCTCTCAGTGCGATTATGTTGTTATCAACACAGGCTGCTCTCCGCTGCACAACATTAATGGATTTTCTGTTGGTGGTGCCAGGGAAAGCCACGCTGAGCTGAACTTTGATCACACAGCAGACTTTGTTCTGTGTTCAAAGCCTGTCCTGGGATGGGGAATCCAGTTTAGAGCCAGCTCATCTCGACTCTCAACTAAAACCAGCATTTGGGGCTTTGACCGCAGCCCTTTGTGATTTGTGTTATTGACATTTGCATTGAAAAAGTAACATCCATTAAGAAAGTCATCACTAAAACAAGAGGCAGAAAATTTAAACCACCTCCTTAGTTATAGCGCCAGATGTGAACAAAAACATTTCCAGACAGAGGCTGAAATAATGACTGCAGTTAACAACAGCCTTTTTACTTGCTTGAACCAAAATTATTCGACTTCAGACTGTACAGAACTCAGCTGCCAGCCTTTTAACTAGAACAAAGAAATGTGATCACATCACAGCCTGCCAATTTGTGCCTGCTTACAGGCAATAATTTACTCACATCTGGCTCCGAAACTCATGTATTTATTTGCATTCATTTATTTATTGTGTGTAGGTCTACTAGCCTACTATACTGTTGTATTGTTTTTGTGTGCGTGCGTGTGTGAGAGAGGCTGAGAGGATAACAGCAGAGCATGTCAGAGCAGCAGCCACTGTTGTCACTGACTCTGTTCCAACCCCCTTTTTTTCTTCAATCCTCCTAATCTACCCCATTGTGAGGAAATCAGATCAGCTGAGTTGGTAAACTCCTTTAAGAAGTGCCTTTCCTGAGAAGGTTAATTTTCTTTTTAACTTCTATTTTTGTTTAAACCTAATGGTTTTATGACAGTTTTTTTTGTAACATGGATTTTGACAAGTGCTCTATAAATAAAGATTATTTCTACTACATCAGCTGTAGCTACCTACCATAAGCAAATGCTAATATTCACATCTAAAACACACAAGTTAGCTATTGACAAGCTTCTTGTCTTTGAAAATAACGCTAGGCTTCTGCTGTAGTAGCTAGTTAGGCATGACTGGTAACGTTTGCAGCTTATGTGAGCACAGATAAACTTAGTACAGTTTAATCCTTTCCCTACATGTTTGCTCTTGTGTTTTTGGGTTTGGAATAACAAACAAAAGACACCAGATTATTGCTCCATCCAGAAGCCCATGCACACTGCTTCAATATGTGAAGAAATTCAAGGCTTTCCAGGCCAGCAACCACTAGTTACAGATGCTAAGCTGTTCCTGGCCAATCACTGTTCATGGGCGGAGTGTGTAGTGAACGGCCAATTTGAATATCCCAACTTTGAACATCATTAATTTCAGGACAGTAGATGTTGTCATCAAAAAGCAAAGAAAGCAAGGCAGTGTGAGTTTAGATAAGTTTATTGTTATTCACATTTAAAAGATTCTAATGGCAGCACATTCTTCCACCGATACCTGGGCAACATCCTGTCCCGCAGACTCTGTGGAATGAAGTCTCAAAATTCATTTAGGGAAAAAGAATCTCACTTTCAAAATTAAATCAGGGATAAAAACCAACACCAGGGTAAGATGGTAAAAGAAAGATAGAAAAGCAGCATTTAAAACTTGGGGGTGGGAGTGCCATGTGCTTTTTTTTTGTGTGTATGTGTATGTATTGTCTCAGAGCAGGCACATTAGCAGTCAAAGACGCAGCTTCACCTTCAGATCAATCTCTATCAGCGTTACAGGAGCCAGAGAGCTGAGGAACAAACATGGATCAAAAATCAATCAAACTGGAGCGAGTGACCAAGAGACAGAGAGGGAGGGAGGGAGGGAGGCAAGTGCAAACCAGACTTGAGTTTCTGTTGTTTAGCTTGTAGGTGGCAACTGCCTGTTTGTCTGAGTTGTCTTCTACTAAACAGTAAGGGCTTTGTAAGGCTTGCCTGTACAAGCCTGACGCACACACAGTGTATAATGTAATCCATGTGTGCTGCACTGCATTCACACTAACAAAAATAGAACTGTGTGTGGACCTTCTCCCTTTCTTTCACGCTTGCTCCCCCTCTCCCTCGTGGCTTGGAGGGATTGTTGTGTCTCCACAGAGCCTGCTGTGTGGTTGGGAATATAAATATAAATACCAACACGTTTCCGAGGAGGCTTCCACAGAGTCTGTGCAGAACAGATGTCGGGGTAAACTGTCGCCCAAAACCACGGCATTTAAGGCCTTTCAAATGGAGGAATTGTGGTTCGACTCTATACATGTGATTAGCAGGAAACTGGATTGCAATATTCTCTTTTAGTCTCTCACTCCCTTCATTTTATTCATCAGCTCCTCTCGTCATCAGTCCAGGAGAAAGAAGAAGTCAGCAACAAGAAAAAAAAAGGAACAAAAAGAAGCAGAAAACCATAAGATAAAAACCTCCAAAATGGAAAACCCCCAACTGTTGTAAACAAAACCCCTTGCAGCGCTGTCTTCACCACCTGTTCGTAGTCAATGCCATCGTCCACATCCCCAGCAGATGTCTGATGGTTAGGATTAAGATGAGGGAGGCTGGTTACCATAAGAACAAATGGGCCCATCTGTGTGTACGTGGTCACTGGTACTGGAGGTAGTTCTTGAGAGTCTGCGGCAGTGGGAGTGCGTCGATGTGATGGATGCGCTCTCTACCCAGAGCCAGTCGAGCTACTCGTCTGCACAGGTCCATAAGGGGGAGGGGCTCCGCTGTGAGGGACAAGAGAGGAGAGATGTGGTGAGGGGCCTAACAGTGAATACTAATGTGACAACAGACCCTCTGAATCTGATTTAGTTTGTTTACACTTCAAGCTGATTTCTACACCTCAGTCAAAGCGCTATGGTACTACTGAAGGCCAGTGGACACCTGCTTTAGTCCCTCTACTAAGCATGGACCGTGTGACACTGCTGGCTTCATCCATCTCTTAAAGAAAAGGACTGTCCTTCAGACATGTAGGTGTCCTTTATGTTAATGCTCCTTATGGTTTTATTCAGACATGACAGCACCTTTACGGAAAAAGCAATAAGTCGCTGTAATATCTGGCACGTGGTGCGTGAGACAGATCACTGCTGAGAGGTGAATTGACAATGTAACGATGTGAAAGATTTAAAATGTTACTGTGTAATCTGACATGTTTCTGACTGTATGACAGTGATCTTAATCAGGGAAAGAAAACATGTATTTAGTTTCTGTGTGATAAACCATGTGCTGTTGCAGCATGTATATTAATCTGTCAGCATTCAATCCAGACATGACACAGAAATGTTAGCAGGTCCACCATAGTAAGTTTGACGTTGTGACTTGTACATGAAAGTAACCTGGTTGCTTAATCCGTCATGAGACAGACCTGTTGCTACCACATTTATATTAATTTCAATTTCTCCCCCTGGTAGTGAGCACACTTGTTACCAATCAATGATAACTGACAGTCTTACCGCTTTTACAGAATTGCATGTTGAAAACATTTTTGCTTCATTTATGTGTTTAGTGACTATTTATTACACTTCGAAGGGTCTGATAGATTTTAAGATATAGTAATGGAGTTTTCCACTGGGCCTTTGATGGACATTCACTTTCGCTAATAGTTTCAGAGTCCTGGTGTTGTACATGCTGGCTCACCGTCACACTGTCATGGCTTACAGAACAGACATGTTATTAGTAACACCTGTGCTTTTCCTACTAGTCAAAATGTCTGCAGTTAAAAAGGCTTATAAAAACACCCTGTAGATCAACCAACGTCATATTTATCATATAGTTTAATACAACTCACAGACTGCCCCTTTAAAGTCGGCGATTTGAGTCATCATTCGAGAAGACCAAGTCGACTTGTACATTGTTAGCTGAATCACTGCACACATTTCTTTTTTTAGCTGCGTCATTGTACAATGAGCAATAGCATGTCAGTCTACATACTTTAGAAAGCGAGTCTCGTCTCAAAATGACCAAACCACAAAATTAACTGATGGAAGTACAGAAGGGCAGTGGAAATAGAGGGTTGCAGGTACGTCCTCCTCTACTGCTGTCCAGTGTGACTGACTGTTTGCTTGATAATGCTAACTATGACCAGGACGCAGTTTTAGATGATAAACAGATGATGAATAAAGACTTTAAAACATGGAGGCTAATGTAGGAGTTTAGTGTAGGGCTTAAAGAAGGTTCCACCTTGTGGACAGGTGTGTAAACATGGATATACACAGAACTGTAGTTTCTATACATGGATAGTAGGGGTTGTGCAATGTGTTTGTCTACGATAGGGCTGCAACTAATGACTATTTTCTTAGTCGACTAATCTGTTAATTATTTCTTCGATTAGTTGACTAGTCACGATTATCTTTGTCACCCCTCAACCCTAATTAAACCATTTAACTAATTAAATGTCTGATCACTGATCTCCAACACACAGACTAACTAGCTAATGTTACCATTAAGTGAACAAGATTTACTATTCACTTTAAAACTTAACTGTTTAACAAAGAGTTTTGATTTGGAACTATATAAATTAAAAGAACATTAAAAGCAAGTAGGCCTACTACAACCATTATACACTAACAATGTAATGTCTATTTAGAACAATAAAGCAACACTTCCCCTTTCATACCACTTATTTCTTAATAGTGCTTATAGGTTTCAGTCTCAGTGGAAAATGTTCTATAGGCTACATCACGAGCCAGATGTTCCTTGATGTACTTTAAAGCACTACTACTACTACTACTACTACTACTACTACTACTACTGGGTCTCCGATATTGAAGAAATGTGACTTTGCAAAAAACTATCAAAACCACCATGTCCACACAGACACTGCAACTTGCATGCTGCAGAAAAGTTCCTGACTGAAGTTAAAGATTAACAAGCAGTGGCAGGAACATTGACACCAACAGCCGCACAGTCTACACAGAGATTGAATCAACTGACGTGTACCAGCCTCACTTGCATGGAGCTGGTTTGGCCAAAAATTGCTACAATGATGACAGAATCAAAGCCACTAACAACAACTATGACGGAACTCACAGCTAATAGAGTGGTGGATGAAATGGTTAACTTGTATTTGCAGTGTTTGAGGTCAGTAATACTTGTGCTGGTGATTTCATTTTTATAGTTTTCACTTAACTGCTTCAGTTCGGGGATAACCCCTTCACTCTTTCAACAGTTGGTAAGCAACAAACAGGAGCTCTGTGTTGAGAAGCTGCAGTCTTTATTTCCCAGCCACTGTAACTTACACTGTACATTACCGTTAAACTAAGGGCTTATTGCTGACACGCTGCTCTCTGCCATTCAGCGGCGCACACGTTCACACACGCTTGCCGTCTCTTCCTTCTCTCACATTACTTTTTCAAACACATTTTTGAAGGATGCAAAAAAAACAGTCACAGATTGTGTGTATTGTTACTTTTAGCCCTTTTCTCGCTCATACGCGGCCATTTAATAAATTGAAAATATGAAATGGCCGAACGTTAGATGACACACTGTGTAACGTTATGACACCATGACAGCAGTGGGTCAGAAAGTAGACACTATTTGCGGTGCTGCCGTCAGTGCTCCGGGCTCCGGGATACTTTGGCTTGAAAAAATGCCAGAAAATATCTAGCTTTCATATTTTTGTCAATATCTCACACCCCTAATGGATAGTTGTGAGTTGAGCTAATTGTGAATGACCTAAACAAAAAAGGTGGTTCAAATGTTTTTTTGTTTTTTTGTTTTTTTTTTCCTAGCTCTGCATTTAATTTACAGTTACTCTAATAATGCTATAGCCTTGGATGTATGTTAATAAAAAGCCCAAAGAAGCAGCATTATTATTATTAAAATATTAACCCAGACACGTCATCAATACTATCAACATATGCCAGTAGAACATGGCAATTTCCTTGTCTATGTATGTCAGACAGAGAGACTTAACTGCTCTGTCCCTTTTATGGATGTCAAGCTGCACCACCTGGAAGCACCATCTGGTAGGGCCGAGTTCCTGCTGTTTGGAGTCCACTTGCACACTGTGCGAAGGACACGAGCAGGGACGTTTACACTTGCACACAAACATAAACACACACACACACACACACACACACACACACACGTTGACAGGCTAGAGATGGACGAGAAAAGTTTGTCGTAGTTTCAATGAAGTTGCCTAACCTGCACAGTCTACATGACAGCAATCGCATGCTTCTAGCCCTGATGCGATGATTTATTGATGAAGCCAGCGTTTTAACAATAAGCTCTTCTTCTAGGCAAAGACCTTAAAATGGTTGTATCAATAATTAATAACGTCAAAGCTTTGAATCCATGTTCAGTCTGCAGTCTTAACATCGCATGATTTTTTAAATGCTTGTTGGCTCCGCATTTTGCACAATAAAAATAAATTTAAAATACTGTAGATAAAGGCCTCTTCTGTGACTGAAACTGAGCCGTTTCACTCCACAGTCCATTAAAAGCGAACCACATTACCACAAACTGACGCCTCATACCAACAAATAAGCAGCATATACATGATGTCTAGTCTTTAGTGTGTTCATGGAACAGTAGCAGACTGAGCCTGTCAGACCTCAGGCATTTCTCTGGACATGAGCTGCTGCCCTGGTGGTGCCCAGCCAAAAAGAAACATCAAGCAGATCAGGTACAGAAATCTGAACTTGATGTCACTGATAGAATCAATGATGAACTTTCAAACAGTGCTGCAATTGACTGAACTCCCTGAATTTCTCGGCTGCGGTCCAGTAAGTGACCTTTGAAACGGCAGTGAGGGGAAATAATGAAATCCACCAGTGAACCGCAGCTGACAGGGTGTAAAGAAACAGAGTACAGCTATCTCAATTTATTTGACTGCCATGGGCTTAATGAAAAGACTTTGTAACAGCACTTTGGGGACAAGTGGCAGAGTGTGGATTCATTTGCAGCCAACACGGCGAGTGCCCAAATCAGGTGGACATGCTGAATGAGCCCGGACTGAACTGAGACAATGTGCAGTGACATGTGCAATGAGACTGCACAGCTGATAATTCTTCACAGCAGTGGTAAAAAAATACCTGGCAGGACAATCACATCCCTCCAACATCTCATTACCCTCTGTTTCAAGTTCATGCGTTAGTACATCAACTTACAAGATTAGGAACCAAGAATCCTACAACTGGTAGTTCAATCGCATTTCCATTCGTCCAGCGTCCTGTGACCATCTGAACTCTGCTGTGTATCAAGGACTCAGATTCACACACACTCTTGGCTCAGGTGGGGCCTCTGTGGAAGGGAGGACCCAGAGATGGATTGACTTTCTGTTGGGTCTAACAGCACCTATCAATCAGTCTACCTTAACCAGCACAGCCCCAGCACGTACATAGGTAGTTTCCATAGTAACGAGCTCCTCACGCCACTGCTGTGTGATGTCAATGTACTGGGAGCGTATAGTCAGACTCACAACGTGTTACATGTTGTATGTGTCTAGATTTCTAGTGCTACCTGTGTTGTTGCCAATTTAAATATTCAGATTGTAAAAAAAACTGTATGGACAGTGACGAATTAAATGTTAAACTGCAAATTAAGTAGCCTCATCACAAGAGATTGGAATTAACTGGTAAAACATTGTGTGGAAAGTATTTTCTTTAGCTTCCATTTGGCAGACTTAGAGAAGTCATCATATTTCCTGTACATTCATTTAATCCACAACCCATATGATCCCCATTTTCTCCTCCAGTGTTATAACTTTTAAGTTACTGTACCT